TGCCTGGCTCTGTAGGCATGTTCCTGGGGAAGAAGGGGACCACATCAGCTTATTCTATTCTGTCAATGCGCTTGCCTGTCCTTAGAATTCACGCATGCCCCCACCCCCGCATACACACACACACTCTCCACCCATCAGGAGTGGATTTCCACTCCTTGATTTATTCTCTTAGTGGGTGTGAGGACTTAGTTTTACTCCCTCATTCTTTCATTTCACGGCCCACAAATATTTACTGGCTGCCTCTGTAGCTCCTCTTCCCCCTGCCATATCCTTATACATACATATACATGCACATGCATGCTTGTATACAGCACACAGATGTACAACTCTCCAGCCTTGTTCTAGGCCTAGAATCTAGGCCCTTAGTCCTACTATGTGCTCCTGTTACTCCCAAGTTTCTCTTATCAAGGCATTTTCTCACACAGTATTAAAAACTGCTTTGTCACATCTCTATTTCCCATGCTAACTGTAATTGCAGTCACCAGTGTAGATCCAAGGCCCAGCATAGTACCTGTACTACTCATGGCCCAGATGTTCAATAAATATTTACCAAATTATTTATTCTTAAAATATTTTATTATTTTTATCTTATGTGTATGAATGTTTTTCTGCATGTATGTAAGTGTACCACATGTGTGCAATGCCCACAGAAGCCAGAAAAGGGTGTCAGATTCCCTGGAACTAGAGTTACATATGGTCATTAGCTGCCATGTGGGTGCTGAAAATCAAACCCAGGTCCTCTGGAAGAATAGCAAGTGTTCCTAGCCACTGAGCCATCTCTCCAGCCCCTTCCTAAATTTATAGTGTGTCATTCTAAAGGCTTCCAGACACTGAATTATCTCTGGAAACTTTCAGCTCAAAGATGGACTTTGAAAATGAGAGAAGTAGGGGCTGGAAAGATGGCTCAGAGGTTAAGAACACTGACTGTTCTTTCAGAAGACCCAGATTCAAATCCAAGCACCCACATGGCAGCTAACAACCATCTGTAAGTCTATTTCCTGGGGATCCAACGCCCTCTTTTGTTCTCTGTGGGCATTGCATGACACCGGCATACTTCCATACATGCAGGCAATACACGCATACACATAAAATACAGATAATAAACAAAATATTGTTTTTTGAAAGATGGGAGAAGTGATGGAAACTCCAGATGCCAAGAAAAATCAAAACCAAGCAAAATATTTCTAACTTTCCTCTCCAAGTCCTCATATCTTAATCTCCCTCACATCCTCAAACTTAAAGAGATCTATCTGCCTGCTTCTGCATGCCATGTGGTGGGATTAGAGGACATGCCACCATCCTTGGCCCATCCTCATATCTATATCTTTGGGGGTGGGGAGAGAGGGAAAGAGAACACTACTTTGCAGCATACCATCTTCTGGCTATTTGTATGTGCGCATATGTGCGTATGCGTTCATGTGTGTGTACAGTCCTATGGGGAACAGATGTCTGTGTTGGGTGGCTTCCTCACTCATTCTTCACCTTACTTTTTGAGAGAGGCTTCTCAACAACCCTGCAGCCTGTGGATTCTGCTGGACTGGCTGGCCAGGAGGCTGCAGGGTTCCTCCTGTCTTTGCCTCTCTAAGGTGAAGATTACAGGTGTGCACCACTGTATCCTCTTTTTTTAAAACATGGGTGCTGGGTATTGAACTCAGGTCTGCATGCTTGCATGGACAGCACTTTACCAAGTGCACAATCTCCCAAGCCTACCTCTGGCTAGTTTTGAATATTGATCCTTTTCAGATTTGTGGCTATGTCCTTTATGGGAAGTATAATCTTTGTGATCTATATAAAGCTTTGTTTTCTCACTTGTAGAATGAAAGCGTGGTAAAGAAAGATGGCCATAGATACTTTGATGATCTAACAGTGGGATCTGTGTTCCTTCCCTCTCCCCTTTTGATCTGGGTGGGCTCCCTGAATGTTCGGTTAATAGAACATAATAGAGCAATGCTTCACCAGTTTCCACACATAAGCCTCAAGAAACTGGCAGCTTCTACCTCCCATATTAAGAGTGTTCACTCAGAAGTCAAGTCACTATGCTGTGAGACAGCCTGAGGTAGGCTCAGCTCTTCCTACATTTCTAGCTGAAATGCAGACCTGCAAATGAAGAAGCCATTCCAGATGTCCATCCCCCTTCAGTCCTCAGAGGACACCAGACTCAGCTGTCCTTCGAGAGACCTCATGCAAAACCTGCCTAGTTGCATCTGGGGAAGGGTTGTGAACCCCTTCGGTTTGGGGTGGTTTATGGAGCAGCAGTGGGGATGGCTCTTGAAGTAAGGATAGTACCTGCCTCATATGACTGTCCTAAAGGCAAATGGAAATGTTCTTGTTTAAGGCAGGGTCTCACTATGTAGCCTAGGCTGGTCTCTAACTTAGGATCCTCCAGCTTCAACCTCCTGACTGATGGGATTACAGGTATAGCCATCACCCCTGGCTAAAATGAGATTTTAAATGCAAAATCCCTTCCTATAGTCTGCAATAAAACAAACTATCACTATACATCATGTCTCCTGCCCTGTCCCATTCCCTCTTTTCTTACTTTAAAAAAAAAATTATTTATTTATTTTTTTGGTCTTTTTGAGACAGGGTCTCCCTGTAGCCCGAGCTGTTCTGGAACTCACTATGTAGACCAGGCTGGCCTTGAACTCAGAGATCCACCTGCCTCTGACTCCCAAGTGCTGGGACTATAGGCGTGTGCCACCATGCCCAGCAAAAATATTGTTTTATTTTAATTTATGTGTATAAGTTTATTGCTTACATGCATGTAAGTGCACCTGTGTCATAGCCCACGGAGGTCAGAAGAGGGCATCAGATTCCCTGGAACTGGAGTTCAAAACAGTTGTCAGCTGCCATATGGGTCCTGGGACTCAAACCCAGGTCCTCTGCAAAAGCAGCCAGTGCTCTTAACCACTGAGCCATCTCTCCAGCCCCCATTCCCCTTTATTCTGCTAATTTGAATTTCCAAGAAGGGATAACTGAGTGTTGTCATCTGAGGTAAGCTGGGTGGAGGCAGAGGGGGGCTACAGGGTAGATGTTTGTAATCTGACTGGCACTCCTTTCTTCTCTTTATTTTCCTCTACTTTCTTTTCTGTGTTCTTTAAAGCACAGCCAGTTCATTTTAGCCTCAAGTAGGAATACTAAATTCAGCCTTCCTGATGCAGACAGAAAAAATCATAGGTTTGGTTAGTCTCGTGGTAATGAAAATGAAGCACCATGAGCTAAAATGATTCAAAGCAAAATTCCCTTTGACAACTTTTATCATGTCTGTTTGTGTGAGTGACTGAAAAGCAGCCGAACAAATATGTAGACTACATAATTATTTCCCACGTAAACAGGACAGAATTGCAGGCTTTCGAGGGGGAGGGGTTTGAAAAGTGCAGGTTACCTGTAATTATTGCTTTGCTGTTTGATTTTATACACCGACAAAATTCAAGTTTGATTTAAATCACACAGAAAGACATGATGCAAATTGGAAATGCCCTCTTCTTTCTGACTCAGATGGCTCATCTTGCTTCATTCTAGTGTTCTCCCTAGAAGGCAACCTTTTATTATGGTTATTGCTTGGGTTGTGTGCCTTACTGATTACATTGCTCATCCCACAAGATGTATCAAAGCAGTTGGAAAGTATCTTCCTATTTCCTTTCCAATTCCTGCGCCCAGGGAGACTGTTACAGAGAACATCAGAGAGTCCGACCAAAGGTCAGGATGGTAAATTCTAGCAAATATACCTGGTGAACGAAGCCTGACGTGTAGACACTGGAGTCGTCTTCTTTTACTTTTCCACCTTTAGTCAGTATACAAAGTCACAGGCTTTGTTGTCACATGCATCCCGATAAAAGGGCCTGCATTTGAAGGCCAGCAGGTTTGGAAGTGGGGGTGGTGGTGGTGGCAATGCAATGTCAGACTGAGAAGACTGCTCACATTCGAATTTGTCCTGTCATTGACTGTGCTTTTCCCTGATTACAATATGGGGGCAGGAGCTTGCCTCTTTATGACCTCAGTGGCCCAGCTGCTCCTTGGCGTCCATCCACTTTTAGCTCCTGCTTGTGATATGACCAAAGACTAAGCGTGGGGCCCTGGAGACTCCCAATCGAGTCCACATCCACAGCTGCAGTAACTGCTTTCTTACCATTTCACAGCTCCAGGAGGAGGTGTGATTGGGTGAGAGGCGCTGGAAAGCTTGTTCTATAATTACTTCTGGATTTGCCTCTGGGGGTGCAGCGCTTGTCTTCCACGGTGTGTGTTCACGTGAGCTTGCGCTGCCTGTAAGAGTCAGAGCATAAATTTCACCCCAAAGACAAATGCCGCATTTTAGGCCGTGGGGATGCGGAGGGGGTGGGGGTTGTCTTGGTTAATCAGTGCGACAAAAGGTAAAATCTGTGAGCCAGGATAACACTCAGGATGCAGCGAAGTCGAGTCCTGTCCCAAATGCAGGAGCCGGGGAACAGAGCCTGGCAGCAGGGCGTTCGGTGGCTGTGAGCCTTGGAGGCTCCAGACTGTTAGGAGCAGGACCCAGCGGGAGAGCAGGGGAGAAGCCAGCTGGATGCAGGCAAAGGTCAGCTGGGCACAGTGGATGCCCAGGGGGACGGGCCTGCGGAGGCCTGGCAGCGCGCCGGCAGGCAGACACGGACAGGTTCTCCTCACTCCCTAAGCGGATCTGCGACCCGGCAGACTTGAACAGGTCCCCCCACGCAGATCTGAGACCCGCAGATACCGACAGGTCCCCGCACGCGGATCTGAGAGCCCCGCAGCCACCACAGCGGCCTCGTGCTGGCGCAACGGGAGCCAGCGTGGGCCCCGCACGTTGCAGCCCACGCTGGCTCCCGAGGCCGTGTTTTCCCGTAGCCTCACGGGGCCCGGCACAGGCTCCAGGCTCCTAGGGGGCGCGCAGCATGCCGAATGGCGCCGGGGGCGGGGCCTCGGGGAGGGCGCTCGGGGATTGGCCACGGGAGGCGGGGGTGTGGCCTGCGCCGGAGAAAACTAGCACGGGGCAGCGGTGATCCCAGCCCGGGCCCGGAGCGGTTGAGCTGCGGTGTTTGCAGCTCTCTTGTTGTACTTTTTAGTCCTTGCGGCCGTGCGGTGTCCGGATCCCAGCGCCATCTCCGCGCAGCACGAGATCCTCCCGCCCGGCAGTTCGGTCTCGAGCGGTGCAGCCCGGCGGGAGCGGAGATGCGCCTCATCCAGAACATGTGCACCATCGCGGAGTACCCTACTGCGGGCAGCGCCGCCGCCGACTGCTGCCTGGGGGCAGCGGGCCGCCGGCTGGTCAAGATCGCCGTGGTGGGGGCCAGCGGCGTGGGCAAGACGGGTGAGTCTTGCTGCTCACGCGGAACCCGCTGAGTTCCGGGGCCGGCCGTAGGAGACACCCACCCGGGTTGGAGGATATTCAAAGTATGGGGAAGAGGTGGGGGCTGCAGCGGGATCCGCCGTCCCTTCATCCCTCTGTTTCAACATAAGAGGTCTGGGGTCCATCCAGAGTCGCCCGCCGACTTTGGGGCTGGATTAGAACTTCGGGGTTTGGAGCCTCGCTCTGGCAGTGTCTGGCTCAGAACGGGGTCGTAACCCCTCCTCGAGGTCTGTAAGGTTTGAAAGACTTACTTGCCTGCTGGAAGGTGTGGCCCAGTCGGGCTCGGAGGAGGGGGTGGGCCACAAGAACCTTCCCGCTGGCAGAGCCGTAATTCACCAGGCGGACACCCCCTCCTGGTGTCTGGCAGAAGGGTCAAGGAGCTACAGGGCAGGAATTTTTCTCAGTGGCGGGCTACAGTTTTGGGAGAGTCGTTTTTCCAGGTGGGCTGGTGTGGAGACCCCTGAAACTTGCTGGGTTAACTTAAGTTTTCCTTTCTCTTCTGACCTTGCAGCTCTGGTGGTCCGGTTCCTCACTAAACGGTTCATTGGGGACTATGAACGAAATGCAGGTGAGGAAATGCACGGAGAAAAAGACTGTCAGGATTGCTGCCCTTATTTTTCAGTGCCTTTACGGACACTTCCTTCAGAGTGACAGCGTGAGCATTAGGATTCTGACACTTCTGCTCCCCCCCCAGTGCCCTCCCCATAGCTGCCATCTGGCCTCATTCCATTCCAGGCCCATTCATCATTTTATCAAGTGCCTGAAAGTATTCCCCTGGTATGCTTTAACTATAGGGACCCCAGTTGGAAGCACTCTTTGTACTCTAGGGCCTCTCCCTTCAAAACATCCCTGCAAAAGTCATAAAAAAAAAAAAAAAAAGAAAGAAAGAAAGAAAGAAAGAAAAAAACGCTGACCAGCTCCTCCCCCACCCTCTCCCTCTGCTGGCTGCCTTTCAGAGGTGACCTTTCAAAGCAAAGGCCAACCGAGAGCAGTTGTAAACCTAAAGTTCGCCTCTTAACAAAGGAAAATAACTAGATGGTAGGATTTGAGGAGGAGAGCTCCTGAATAAATGAGAAGACCAGTGTTTCATGCTTTATGATTGAAAATAGCCACCAGGAGGCTTAAGGGCTTTGTGACTATGCCCTGTTAGCAAATTGCTTAAATACATAGACTGTGTATGAGGTGCCTATAGGGGATTGTTTGAAATGAGTCATTTAAGCCATCTCAAGGTAAATTGTGGTCTTCTGCTTTGATGTAGCGTTGACAGTTATGTCACACTTCATCCAAAGTGATAATGTTAACTTGTGCATAACCATATTTGCTTATGAAGCCATTATATCTAGTAGCCAAAATATAACTATGTTCAGAAAATGACAAATCCACACATACTGAACCAGAAAATCTACTTCAAGGAAATAAACTCTTAAGTATAGAAACTGTTTAAAATTAGAGTTTCCCAAAACTCACAAACTTTGACATCTACTAGGATGGGGTTAAAATCGTAGCTGGCCTCTAAATGAGATCTGAAGTAAGCCCGTTAAATAGAAATGAACTTCATTTCTAGTATGCATTTGTATAGGCATTAAAAAAATCCACAATGTTTCTTAAGGTTGTACATGAAGGAAGAATATAATCTCTTTTTCTATTCCATCATAGGTAACCTCTATACCAGACAAGTCCAGATAGAAGGTGAAACCCTGGCGATTCAAGTTCAGGATACTCCAGGGATTCAGGTGAGAAGTTATGACACTGTGACTGGGTCAAAGGGGAACCTAGTGACATTGGAATTGTTCAGTTCTCAAACTGAAGGAAAACAAGATGTGGGGAGTGAGGTCTAGACTTTCACATATTGTTTGACACTAATTGTATCTGGTTGCTGGTCAGTCTTGGCCTGGCTCAATTTGGGAGATTTGGCAAAGGGGCAGAACCCTTCCAGTAGGAAGACACAGCACAGCAGGAAAGAGCAAACCCAACCCTGGGAGTTGGCAGTGTTTCCTTGCTATGGTTACAGTCAATTTTTACACAGGTGTCTTTGCTATTAAAAACCCAATATATGGATACAGTCTCAAACACTTGGAATTACTTTTATGTTGTGGAAAGTTTCGCTATAGACAAAAGAGCCATGCTGGTTTTTTTTTTTTTTTTTTTTTTCTTGGTTTGGTTTGGTTTTTTTTTTTGTTTTTTGAAACAGGGTTTCCCTATAACCCCAGCTGTCCTGGAACTCACTCTGTAGACCAGGCTGGCCTGTGGTTTTTTTTTTTTTTTTTTTTCCTCTTGAACTGGGCAGTTATCCAGGTTTAAATGCTTTCAGCTCCTATCTTTACTTCCCCAGACTTACTGTCTAGCCAGTTAATTTCCCATTTTGTGCAACTACAAAGTCTCTCTGCATGGAGTTCTCTGCAGGTCAATTTTCCACTTGAGTGTGGTGAGCTGCTCTGTTATTTATTCCAACTCTGTGCAGCTGGATCAACATATTGTCAGGAAAGCTGAAATGTGCGTAAATGCTTTCAGCTCCTATCTTTACTTCCCCAGACTTACTGTCTAGCCAGTTAATTTCCCATTTTGTGCAACTACAAAGTCTCTCTGCATGGAGTTCTCTGCAGGTCAATTTTCCACTTGAGTGTGGTGAGCTGCTCTGTTATTTATTCCAACTCTGTGCAGCTGGATCAACATATTGTCAGGAAAGCTGAAATGTGCGGGGATAGAACTTGTTTATGACCCATAACCTGGCATTACTATGAAGGGCTCTTTTGAATTTGGGATCCCACGCAGCCAAGGCTCCTTGCGGTACTCACCGTTCATTTTGCTTTATCCCCGCTGCAGGTTCATGAGAATGGCTTGAGCTGCAGTGAGCAGCTAAACCGGTGTATTCGCTGGGCAGACGCTGTGGTGATCGTTTTCTCCATCACTGACCACAAGAGCTATGAACTCATTGGCCAGCTCCACCAGCATGTCCAGCAGCTCCACCTGGGCACCCGGCTGCCTGTGGTGGTTGTAGCCAATAAAGCCGACCTGTTGCACATCAAGCAGGTCGATCCTCAGCTCGGACTGCAGCTGGCTGGCATGCTGGGTTGCTCCTTCTATGAAGTGTCTGTCAGTGAAAATTACAATGATGTCTATAATGCCTTCCATGTCCTGTGCAAAGAAGTGAGCCACAAACAGCAGTCCAACAGCACACCCGAGAAACGAAGAACCTCTCTCATTCCCAGGCCCAAGTCACCCAACATGCAGGATCTGAAGAGGAGGTTCAAGCAAGCTCTGTCTGCCAAAGTGAGAACTGTCACCTCTGTCTGAAGCACAACCACTCAGGGGATTTGGTCTTCTGGGAAGAGGACCTGAGGTTCTTCTGGTGCAGGACCATTGGAGGCTGGCGGTAGTTCATGGTTCCAGAAAGGGCTGGAGCAAAGAGGCCTAAGGGGCCTGTGGAACTGCTGCAAATGAGGAAGTGCTTGGAGTCCAAGGATGGATGGACAGATACAGGACACGGACTCTTTCTAGTTCTTTGGAGTGTGGAGGGGGCAGGTGGTTATCCCTCACTACCTTGTAAATGATGGCCAGTTTCTCCAAATGCATTGTTGCGATTAGGGTAGGGATGAAAGAACAGATTAAGCATTCACAGGCTTTCTTTCCCCCCTTCTCCTCCTTCATCTTTTTTCCTCCCTAGAGGAAGGTTTACTCTTATCAGTATGACTTGTATCTCTGTGCTATCTTTACAGGACACCTTTCTAACTTGAAGGATACCCAGATTTAAGAACAAGGGAGGATCCCTCCTCACCCCATAGAGGTCAGATTTTAGGCCATAATATTTTATGTACAGACACCTGTGAACTGTGGTCTGCAGGAAGGTGCTGAATCTCCCAACACACAGGATGTTCATGCCTAGTGGGACATGTGTTGAGTAGCTGTGAAAAACTGCCCAATCATGACACTGTACAGCTGTTTGTTTTTGTTTGTAACCTATGGCATCGGGTACAGAAAAAAAGTGTTAATTGATGGTGGTGTGATTTGTGTAAATGGCTTATGGCAATGACGTTAGGGTCCTGGGCCTAATTGAGTCATGGCTGTGGGTGGCTGAATTATGGAAACGCTGTCTTACGGAGTGACCAGATTCAGGGCTGCCCACCAAATCCCCTACACAGATGCACTTTAAAAAGCCATTCATGCTTTGGCTTGAACTGTAATTAATTTATTTTATGTACAATAAATCTCATTTGATAAGAGCAGACATCTGACCGTGGTCTTTCTTGAAATATTCTCCTTCAGTCCTTTGGAAAGTATTGTGTAGAATCTTTGTGTTTATTGGGCATGTTGAGTCAGGGACTATGTCTTTCAGGAGTTCTCTCTTTAAGTCTCAACAAATCAGTGGTGTACATTTTATTATTCCCATTTTACAGAACAAGTTCAATAACATGAAGGCCACAATCTGTGCTTTCATTAAGGAGTGCAGTGTGACATTCTGATTCCAGACTTGCATGGCTCCTACTCATCTCCTTTTCATGATCCTCCAAAGAGACCTAAAACAAATATCTGTCTATACATCTCAGCAGAGCCTCTGAGGGCATGCATGTGTCTATACAAAATCAGGGTTGCATCACGTATGATACATTTGGTAAAGCTCTCTGGGTATGCTGCTTCCAAAAGTTGCACCTTATTCTTACAGTGAAAGCTCATAACTATTGACCTAGCTCTTCCCATGGCGCTCTTGCCCCATGTGTATGCTCCAATGGCCAGGCTGCATCTGCTGCAATGTGAGCCTGGGAGACCTTCTATGCCAACTCAGTGAGCCTCTGTTTTTGTGGGCAGATCATCATGGTTTCCATCTGGGCAGTACTTTCAAATACTGTTTAATCCTCTGGATAACTCTGTGAGTAGGAGGGGGAGGGGCTAGCTCCATTTTACAGATAAGAAAGTAGGCTCTGGGCTTTGATGGCCTCAGGTCACATAAAGGAGTTGAGTCAACGTCTTCTGACCATAGTCAGTGTTATTTCTTATGATGTTTCCTATATGAGAGACTGCTGCATAGGTGGGGCAGTGGGACAAGGGCCAATGCTAATAACTTGGGAGTCTGCAGTGGTATGGAGCTAGGCTTCTAGGCCTGTTTTCCCAGGGAAACATCTGACTGCTCTTGACAGTAAAATTCTTTTTTTAAAAAAAGTTATTTTATGTGTATGCATGTTTTATTTGTGTGTATGTAAGTGTACCTGTGTCATGCAATGCCCATGGAGGCCAGAAGAGGGGGCTGGATCCCCTTTGACTGGGGCTATGGATGGTTGTTAGCTGCCATGTGGATGCTGGGAATTGAACCTGGATCCTCTGCAAAAGCAGCCAGTGCTCTTAACTGTTGAACCATCTCTCCAGTCCTGACACTGACATTCTGACATTCAAACTTCCTTATACACAGAGCTTGTTTTTGTTTGTTTTTTTATACTTCAAGCCTAACCTCACCTCTGCGAACAGTGTGTGTTGGGGTCAGGGAGGGAAATGGTGCCTCCAGAAGCCTGAGAATATACCAGTATAAGGACAGAGACAGGCGCCTCCAACTTCAGCCTACTCATTTATCTGTATTCATCCTACGGGGTTGTTAGCAATGCCCAGTGAATGAGAGGTGCATCTGTATGCACTCACCCTGGGCTCTGACCCATACTCCGAAATGGAAGAAGGGAGCATCCCTGTGGGCAGAATTGTGCAGCACAAGTGCTACATGAGGAGTGCTACACTTGCATTTCTCACTGTCGCCTGCCTCCTGTGTCATGGCAGGGATGTGTTTGAGTTTGGTACAAGGAGGAGAGGAATTAGAGTCTATTGAATATTTACAACATGCCAGATCATACATGCTCTCCTTTAGTCTTTGGAAGACACCTGAGGCAGGTCATATCATTTCCATTTTAAAGACGAGGAAACTGAGGCCTAGAAGCTATGTTAGCTTATGGCCAGTGACAGCTTTACTTCATTTATTGACCATCTCTGCATCAGGAATAGGAGAGGTTTGAGATAAGGACATTCTGCCCACCAACTCCACCATCTCAGTGTAGTCTCCTTGGCAGAGAAGAAAACAACTTGCTCTGCTCCCAAGGGAGCAGACTCTGGACTCCACCCTTCCTTCCAAAGCCATAGCTCTTGTTCCACCCCCTCCACACATACAGAGACCATGTGCAGCTCTAGACCTACTGCCCAAGCCCTACTTCCTGGGCTTCTATGTCTCCCTTCTGCTACTGGCTGGGCTACTCCTGGGCCCCAGGTCTCCTGGCAGCCGGACCACATCTGCTGTTGCCATCAGCTGAAGGCTGCTGGCTGCTCTGGCTTCCAGCCCCCTCGGTAATAAAGACGTCCAGGCAGGAGGGGCTGCTGTGTAGCCTGTCTCAGAGCCTGACCCACGTCTGTCGTGATGTCTGGTTTTTCAGTTTCTTCCCAGCCTCAAATCAAAACCATTTGCAGCCCTAGGAGCCGTGGCCAGCCCCTGCTGTGAGGTGGCAGGGGACGCTGAACTCACGTTTCTCCCTCACCACGCTCTAGTCAGAAGCTTTGCCTGTCCTGCAGCTCAGAACCCCAAGTTTTAGGGGTTATGGCTGTGTTTATAGAAATCCCCTTGTTGAGGAGAAAAGTGGGATTTCAGCATTCATCTTTCATTCCAAGAGGGAAAAAAACAAATCTATTTTCTGGGCAAAGGAACAAGTGGTAGGCAGATTCCCACAAAGGAGCAGTTGGCAAACTGATCCTGCTTAGCAGTGGGGAGACAGCCACTGCCTAGCTGTCTGTAGAGAACTCCCCACGGGACCCCCAAGGAACTGCTCACAAGGGAGCATAGATTGTCTGCTTACAATAAAGAACTCAGGAAAACTCCTGTCTGGGCACTCCCTTAAGTCTAAAGAAACAAGCTTCCAGAAAGTTCTTATTGTCCTCATTAGCTCCTAAATTTGAGAAGAGAATGGGATTAAGTTATTACTGAGGGTGGCAAGACTCTGTTACTCTCCTGCCTCCTGACACAGCCTATAAGTCCTCCACCATCTGTTTTCCTTAAATTCCCTTTAAAGTAGAAGTGGAGTTTCTTGATGTTTCTTGGGCAAGACCACAGACAAAATTTGTAGCATTGGATTATTTGTTGTTGAGATTCTGTTGCTGGTAACTAGGGTAAAAATAAATAACAGTGGTCTTGGAGGGTAGTACTGCGAAATTCTTTGTTAAGGAAATACCACCTTAACACCAGGAACCCTGGCACAAACAACTATATACATAGGGCCTGGCCCTCTGGGGACAACTGAACTGTTGCTGCGCTGGCTGGAGTACTTCCAAATACTTTGTTGTGCCTGTTATGTTTGCAGGGAAGAGGGTTCCAAAAGGTTTACAAAAACAGAACTCCATTGCTACAAAGTATTTACCCCACTATCAACTGTGTATATGAAAGGTAGCCATTAGGCCCTTGGCAGGAGATTTGCCTTTGTGTGCTTGCTTTGGCTCTGGCCAGCATGGTTTAGGTGGTAAATAGACCCAGACCTGAGAGGGGAGAAACCAGTACTGCCACTCAGCTCCTTAGCTGGGTTTTTAGTTTACCTTCAGGCAGCTGCCATAGTGGGGTGGGCGAGTTCCCTTGAAAACCAGTATATCTGGATAATGATGAAATGGTAAATGAGATGTCAACCTCAGACTCTGAGTAACTGCTTTCTGGCTAACAGTAGTGATGGAGAAGGTTCTGTTGGAGACATATGATTCTGCATGAGCAATCATCCAATATGCATCACTCATAGTAGTGATTCTTAGTTACTGTTATGCTTAGATTCTAACACGTACCCCAAGGACTCATGCATTGAAACTTGGTTCCTAATGCAGTAGGGTTCAGAGATGGGGCCTCTTGGGGGGGGTAATTGGATCATGAATACCCTGATTTCACCTAATTATTCTATTGAAAGGTCCATACCTTACTGAGATATGGGGAAGTGGTGAGTACTTTAGGGGATAGAATGTTGTTAGAGAAGGCAGGTCACTGACTGTGCCCTGAGAGGCCCCATCTCCTCCTCAACTTCCTGGCTACCATGAGGTAAGCAGCTCTTTTCCTTGCCATGATGTTCTGCCTCACCATAGATCCAGAAACACCAAAACCAAGTGACCTTGGTCTGAAACCTCTGAAACTCTGAGCCAAAATACTTTCCCCCTTTAAATTGATTTTCTCAGACATTTTGTCACAGAAAAGAAAGTTAAGAGAGCCTCTCCAAACAAATTTACCCTGGGCCCTGTTCTAAGTGCTAGATGTGTAGCATGATTCTATGTCCTATGATTCTCACTACAACCTAGTGGGTATGGTCTACTATCATCTAATTCCATGGTCACCTAAGACCTGGAAAAATGAACTACCAGATGTGGGAGAGGCGGCACTGGCTGAGCTCCAGACACTATTCCTGCCTGACCTCTGGGTTAGATGGCCTTGGCGTATGCTGGACCATCATGTTCTTACTTCTCCATTTGTCCTCTCCCCAGGAATGCTTCCAAACTCTATTAACTACCATTGTCCTGTTGACACTTTCTCTTTGTGTGAAGTAATACATTGGTATCCTCAGCAATAACACCCATATTTCTTGGAGTCATGGGCCAGCCATTCTGTTAGGGATGGCTCCTTAGCAGGCTCTCATGAGGGAGGCTCCATTATCATCTGTTTCACAGGCTTGTTGTGACCATGGTGTACTGGAGATGTAATTGGAACCTAAACCCAGAGAAGACTCCAGAATCCTGATCTGTATACTATTCCTTCACAGTGGGTGGAGGGGGCTTAGCACCTTCTCTGGTCCCTCCCTTGTCTAGGAAATGAGCACAAAATTCACATGATACCAGAGAGATGCCAGGCAGCTCCACTGCCCGAGTCACTGTGCTGGATAGCTTTAGTGTCAACTTGACACACCTGGGTTGAGGGAGCCTCAATTGGGGAACTGTCTCCATTGAACTGGCCTGTGACCATGTCTATGGGGTATTTTCTTGATTGTTGAGTGATGTGGGAGGGCCCAGTCTACTGTGGCAGGTTGTTCTATATTTTATAAAAAAACAGGCTGAGCATGGGCCAAGGGAGCAAGCCAGTAAGTAGCGTTCCTCCATGGCCTGTGCTCCAGCTCCTGCCTCCAGGTTCCTGCTCTATGTTCCTACCTTGGGCTTCCTGATGAACTGTGACCCAGGAGATGTAAGCCAAACAAACTTTTCCTCCCCAGAGTATTTTGTCACAGCAATGGAGAAACAAACTAGAACAGTCACCTTCTTTACACATTTATTGATGGCTATTTGCAGGACTCGTGCCAAGTTTTTACTAAGCTCCTGTTGTTTAATCAAGGACCTGCATTCTCTCTTGTGCCTCCAGTCCTTGTTATTCAAAAAGTACATTCTAGTTACCATCAACTCCTTCCAGCTCACCTTTTCTCCATAGCTGTCTACCTTGTGATTGCCTGCCTAGCCAAGTTCTTCCAACCGGTGACTTTTGACATTTCTCCCTACACACTTCTGACATTTCTCCCTACCACCCACAGACTACCTATAGCCACTCTTAATGCAATTTTAGTACATTTTCAGGACACAGTACTACTTGCTAGCATAACCTGTAACTTTATCCTATTATTTTATCAGAGTAGAAGCTTTTGCATATTCTTTTACAAAATAAGAAACAACTTGTAAAGATATAATTCACAAAAGCAATATACAAATATATATTTGCTACAAAAAACTGAAGCAATGTATTAGTATATAGGGAGTGAGTCTCCCCCTTCTTCCTAGCCTCCCATTTAATACTTCTTTCCAGAGGTAACCTCTTGTTGGCAGTTTGGTTTTATATTTTCAGGTTTCCTTCCCATGTAGACATATGATTTGCAACTTAACCTTGAGATGATGCTCACAGAGGGCCCAGGCATCAGATAAAACACCAGTTGCTCATTCTACGGATGTCATGAGGTCAGGGAGGTGTCTGGCTTGTGATGACTTCAGAACCCCCTAGAGAACCTGGAATGTTCTCTGCAGGTGCCCACCTTCACAGGTACCCACTCAACATTTGAGAATGAATGGATGAATGACACAGGGTTGAATCACATGACAGGTGGTTTATTTTAGAAAATATTGCTCTCTGCTTACATTATAATTTCTTTGCAGCCAATGTCAGTTTCTTCATTCAAATGTCAGACTTGTAGATTAGTAGGATTTAAAAAAGTATCTGAGGTCTTATATTCCAGCACCACCAAAGAACTGGTAAAAGGTGGAAAGCACACTTGGGCATGAAAATCTACATCTATTTCCATAAAAACCCAGCTTAATTTGGTCTCAAAATGATTTCTCAAAATGATCTAAGTTTATAGCTATTTTTTTCTTCCATAAAATGACAGCATTTAATAAAGAACTAAAATGTAAGGCCACGTCTTGATTTACATTTTATTTCTTCCTCCTACTTAATCCATACTAGCAACTGTTTTCCAGCTTTATCTCATTTCAGACATCCATCAGTGATACCAGAAATTCCCATCGGCCATATACTTCTAAGTAAACATCTGGGTTCTAAGCAGTGCTCTCTTCCTTTTTCCCTAGAGTTCTCATATCATTTCACTAGATGGGCCTGGGTTTTTCTGCCTTGGCCAGAAAGAATATCTAAACTCAAAGAAAAGAAAGTTTTATATTTCAGTAGGAACTTGAAATCACAAAGCCTTCTAGGGATTGTGGTTATAATCTAGACTCCCTGGGAGGAGATCTCCTGTACTGGGGCTTCCTCTGGAGGGGAGGAAACCTTTTATAGGCAAGGACAGCTCTCCAATCACCCTCTCTGTTCCTCCCACTGCTGTTCCAAGTAGCCAGGCTCCTTGAACAAGCTAGAACAAAGCAGCCTTTTGTCACTATGGGATGGTTTACCACTCACAGAGGCCACCAGCCCAGGGCTGCCCCAGCTACCCCTCCCTTCCTTGCCTTTCAGAAATATTTTGGATCTAAAGAGAAAGTTTCTGCTTCTGTCTGTGACGTTCCCTCCTCACATAATTGTAAGAAAAATAAAAATTTCCATATGCTCAGAATTCTAAAGCATGTCTAACTTTTCCTCGACTAACTGCAAACCACAATGCTTACCATCCACTACACTTGCCAACAGGCTTTTATTTAGAATCAGTGAGCTAATGAACCTATAGGTGGCATCAGGAAGATTACAAAGACGGGGTTAAGGATAAATGAAAACAATTGCTAGTGAGCTCAGCTAAAGACAGCGTGGCACCTTTAGAAGAAGAATGAAAAAGCAAGTTTTTGTTCTGTTTTTGTTTTGAAAGAACATGAACAATCCAAGCAATTCGCCTTGCTGCAGGGTTATCAAGACCTTCCTGGCAGAATCAAGTCTTATCTATGATTAGTAACAGGGGTACTGGTTTGGGAGGCACATCTGGAATGGTGACAGACTGCTGTTGGTATTTCCAGATCAAGTAGGTCTTATCTTCTTTGTAGATGTCAGAAACCCAGGTCTGGATGTAGCCGATCAGTTGCAAAGAGGAGCTCGGGAATGTTAAGTGGCTTCAGGAGTCTCGTGGACAGCACTATCACCTATAACAGGAGGGGCGAGCACAGCACAGTGAGGGACATCAGTTATCACAGGCCCAGAAATCATACACAACAAGTGTCTAGAAGGAGCACGGAGTGGAGCACCATGAAGAAGAAACAGAGGCAGCAGGATGAATGCTAACTGGCGCTAGCATTCTGCCTAGAAGGAGGGTTGCTCAGTCTCAGGAGGATAGCTTGAGGGATAGCTGGGTCTACTAGGCCTTTAACCAAGGGCACACTAAGAGTGGCCAGCAATGACATGGGGTGCACGTGGGAGGCTGAGTGCAGCCAACTTTCATACTTCCAATGCAATAGTTGGATCTCAGTTTCTGGGGTTCTCCCCATTTTGGGGATGCTATGATGATGATGACTGGATTTGTTTTTTAGTATCACAAAATTGGGTGATTTAAACTACAGTAATTTTACTGTCTCACACCCCTGAGACTAGAAATCCAAGATCAAAGTATTAGCAGAATGGTTCTTTCTGAGGGTTACAAAGGAGAATGTGTTCCAGGCTTTAGCCCAATTTCCATGTACCTTCACATTGTTTTTCCTCTATGTGGGCTGGCACTGTGCCCAAATTTCTCCTTTTCTCTGGGCACAATCATATTGTATTGGAGTCCACACCAAAAGCTTCATGTTTATTGATCATCTGCAAAGACTATTTCTGAAAGAGGTCACATTCACAGGTCTTGAAGGAGAGGGTTATAATTTCAACATCTTTCTTTTTAGGTAAGGACACAGTTCAACCCATAACAATGAAGAAGAAGAAGAAGAAGGTGATGATGATGCTGGTACTAGCTGATATTTATTAGTCCTTATGACATATAAAGTTCTAATTTCCATGTATTCCACATCACCTCCTTATGAAACAGCTACATTGATGATTCCCTTTTTGTGGATGAGGACAAAAAGGTACAGAAAGTTGTGACTGGTTGAGGACATAGATAAGTAGGTGAGTCAGGAGAAGCCAAGTGTCTGGCTCCAGGGTCCACAGTCTATAGTCAGGGTCCTGAGCATGGCTACTTTGCTTCTAGTTCACATGGAGCTGTGGGCTCTGTGAGACTGTTTTCTCTCTAGAATGCCAAGAGAACTTGTTCCCAGAGCTGGCCTGGGTATGCAATATGCTTTGTAAAGGCTAGGTGAGGGTCTGCCCAAGCAGGCAGTGGGTGCCCCTCAATGAGGAACTGACTATGGGGAACGGGGAGGGAGTCCAGGAAGGAATTCCACAGGCAACTGTCCAATTGTAGCATGACTGGGCTTCACTTGGCCATGCTGCATTGGACAGGTGCAGGTGGACCTGGCCACTTCCCTATCCTACCTGCCTGCGTACAAAGTTATCCCAGGTGTAGTCAAATCAGTGAAGTAATCAACTCCAAATTCAATTCACTCATTGATGCAAAACAGAACCCACATTCCAACTCATGGCAGAAGAACAGCGGCAGGGACCACAGTCAAGGGATGGAGGACAAAAGAGGCATTTTAGAATTTGGTTTTGGTTTTTGAAAAATGACTTTTCAACTGAAAAGTTCTCTCTTTTTTCAAGAGCACTGGCTTTGGAAGCATCTATTTTACTTGTTCTTGAGAGAGAGCTAGCTTAAAAATATACAGCTAATGTCAATCAAGTCATACTTTTGGCAGAAAAAAATACACTGAAATCTGTGCTTCCCATTTTTTCCTTGAAAGCTATGCAGAGAGGATTTGAGGACAGTGGGTGAATACTGGCACCCCCTTGTCACCTGGGACATGGTTAAATGTGATGCTGCAGCAGGTCTCTGCTCATTCCATGTCTTCTATACCAAACTCAGTGAGATGGGTGGCAATGGTAGCTTCCAGAGAGACCTGGGTAGATCCCAGCTTCGTGCTGACTGGCTGGGCTCCCTGCGGAAAATCACTTAACTTGGAGCCTCGCTCACCCACCTCATTGTCCCCAAAGTAAAAGAACATTCCAAGCTCGCAGCAGAATCACCAGGATTACATAATCTCCTCTTCGGAGAACACAGGAAGTACCCAGCAATTGGCAGCCACTGTTTTATTATGACTTAGTACTGGGTAACAGACCTCCTTTGGAATCTTTTGTAAGCACAGAATTTTCTAGAAAAACATACATATATTCATATATCAGATTTCAAATATAGTTTTAGGGGAGGTTTGTGGACTGTTTAGGGATTCACAAACCACAATTAGAAAGCCCATTTAAATATGTTTATATAGGGTTGGGGAGATAGCACAGTTGGCCAAATGCTTGCTTGTATACACATGAGGACCTGAGTTCAGTGCCCAGAATTCATGTAAAAAAAATTGGGTGTAGTAGCATGCTTCTATAATTCTAGTACTTGCTGTCCAGCCAGGCTAGCCTACTTGGTGAGCTCCAGGTCAGTAAGGGACCCTGTCTCAAAAATGAGGTGGATAGCTCCAAAGGAACAACAGCTGAATTTGTTTTACACACACACACACACACACACACACACACTCTGCACACACAAGGACAAAAATGCTTTGCACACTCTCTGGATGCAGTCTCATGAAGTAAAAGAGACCAGTAGTGAAGACTGTCCTCTGCCCATGACTTGCCAGCCCCCGTGGGCCTTAGAGTTAGTGCAGAGCAGGTGGATTCCTCTCTGGCTGAGGTAAGAGCAGGAATGAAGCCGGAGAAAATCCCCCAAAGAAGCTTAAGTCTTATTGGCAGGTTTGAGGAACTTGGAGGGGAAAGGCTACAGATTCAGTTGATGTCAACTCTGAGAGCAGCAACCAGAGTCCAAAGAATTTGTGAGGCTGAGATTGTATGCTGGGATCACAGCCATGGCTGACAGAGATCGACTGGTTTCCTCTGAGTGGGAACACAAAGACCAGGCTCCTCACATCTAAACAAGCAGGCCCATAAGATGACAGCTTTCTGAGCACCAAAGCTGAGGGTGTCTGGGGTCTGCTCTGGGTCAGGTTAAAACGGAGAGAAAAGAGATAGAAAACAGAAGGCAGCTCAGGAGGTGGGTTAGGGGACCTATGAGGAAAGGAGCACGCGGGCTGAGCACAAGGACACAGAGAGCAGTGTTGAAGAGCACAGATTTAGGAATGTTCAGCCTGAGTTGACAGCTCTGGCAGCGGACTCTGGAGGCAGACTCTAGAGTAGTCGCTTAATCTGCCAAGCCTCACTTTCCTCATCTGTAAGGCATGAATAATACTATCTGCCTCAGATGAACATCGTGCAAAACCTGTCTCCTGATGCAGGCTTGGGAGGGCCTACAGTGGTGGCTGCTCTTACCTACACCCTTGCTGTGCTGCTATTTGCTCCCTCTGCTGCTTTCCCTCCCTGCAACTTCTGCAGTCTTTGGGTGATACAGGGAAGGGAGAATTGTCAGTGTGCTCTGAAGTGTTAATCTAATTGTGTTACTCACAGGCCTCAAATCCTAGCCACCTTCTCACTGCCCTTTGATGGTCCAGTGATTTGCCCAGTCCTCAGGAGACATTCTGGGAAGTCTGCTGTGTTCTCTACAGCCCTTGCCTCCTTCATGGTTAGCCCCATGTGCCAGCTGCCCTCAAGGATTTGTGACTTCACAAACTGGCTCTTTTGGGATGCTTCTTCATCTAAACAGAGTTCCCCTGCTCTTTCTGTGGTCTTTCTATTTATTCAGGCATCACTGCCCCAGTAAGCCTTCCTGAGTCAACCCCCTACCAGCCTAAGTGTGTCCCCATGGCTGTTAATTTCATTGCACCCCGTTTCTTCCCCTGGGTCTTTCCATTGTTTCTTGGCACAATGTTTGATGCATAGTAGGGCCTGCTATAAATCATTGAATGAAACTATTGAATGGACAGTGAAGGAGGCAGTGGCTATAGCCTTGATCAGCCAGAAGCTTTTCATCCAGGAAGGTCTAGGAAGAGATGCTCAAATGGCTCTGAGTAAATTTGCTTCATATCAATTTAATGAAAGACCTACTTGTTGAAAGTTGCTGTTTCAAGCGCAAGCAGGGCCATGCTGTAAGCATACAGTCATGGTCCATGAGCATTTTCACATCTCTGTCATTTTTGGTAATCAAACTACTTTAAAGTATTTCTTTTCTTTCTTCTGGTTAATTCAATCAAGGCCATGTCTGCATTATTTGGCTTAAATAGTCTTTCAAATTCTGATGGCTCTAAATGGGGGAAGAAAGGAAAGATACTTAAAAAATGAATAAGAAAAAGCTGAGAAAAGCTGGAAATGGGCCTATCAGATGGAATGCAAGTGTTTTAAACATAGCCAGTGTGGAGGCTGATTTCACATGGTAGAATTCGTTTCATAGGGATGGCCTTCCTCAGATGACCCAGGCATAGATGCAAACCTGGGCTGCCTGGCACTGCCCCCGGGGTCCTTGTTCTCTGTTTTCTATTCCTTTCTCCCTTTTGTATCATCCCTTCTTCTCCCCTCCAGTTCCCCCTCTCTTTTCTTCATTCTTCATTTTGGGTTGCTGTTGCTCATCCTCCTCCTCAGCTCAGGCCCAGCATCATTCAAATTTCAGGTTAAGTACAGTCTAACTCTGACCCCTCAGCTCCTGGCTGTCCTACTCTCACCTGCCCTCTGCCAAGTGGGGCACTCAGCAGTGAGTATCCTCCCCACCCCCTGACTTTCCTCTTCCCCAGCCATGCTATAATTTGCAGGTGCCAGCCCTTTCCTGTTCTATTTCTGTTCAACATGGAGGCGGCAGCAAAGTCTAAGATTTGGATTTCATAGCCCTCTGATTTCTAATACTGAGAGTCCAAAAGAGCAGAGAGTACAATTTTTTTCTTCCCTTCTTTGAAATCTAATTTCCCCCAAAGTGCCACACAGCATGGGTGCCCACATGCATCTTCATCCATCATCAACAATTATTTTTGAGCATACAAGCCCATTAGAGGCACTATCTAGCCCTGCTTGCACATATGCTGTACTGTGCACATGTGTACATAGTCACACTGGTGTGAAACATAAAATGTTTGGGTCATTAATCCAGGGGGACAGTTATCCTTTCTGGAAAATGTGACCCACTTGATCTACTTTGTCCCAGAGGCCAGTGTGCTGGACTACAGGGGCTCCTGAAGAGCTTGTTCCACCCAGAGTCCAGACCACCTTTGCACTTTGTCTTTTCTGATTTGGTTGTTGCTTTTAAAGTCATCGATCTCCCTCCCCAAGATATCCCATCATCGTACAATGACTTGGAGCAGGCTGGTATGTAGGCCACCTTGAATCAATAAAGATGTATGCAGAATTGTGTTAGAGCATCTGGTCACAGAACTCCATCGTCATGCAGCAGAGTGAGGAGACAGGGCTAGTGCCCGAGACAAGTGCATTGGAGGACAGGGACCTACAAAGACTCCTGCCGTGGTCTTGGGGCTATCTGGGGTGGGTTGGGGGAATTATTTTCCTTGGTCTAGTCAAGTAAGATGTGTCTACTTTCTCCTATCAGCCCTCCCTGGGTGGGATGGCAAAGGCAGAAGGGAGGCTTTTGCTGTGTGGATGGGCCAGCTGTGCCTTTGCTGCTCCTTCACTGAGGTCACACACTCTCCCCAAAGCAGAGAATGGAGCTTGTACACAGGCTGTCCTGGTTACAGCTCAGACAGCAAGGCCTGCTTTCCAAGGTGCTTCTAAAATCAGGAGGATGAACTGTCGAACGCCCCCCAAGCCCACCAGGCTTGGGTCTTCAACAAAAAGGACACTCAGGCATACGTCTGAAGTTATGCGAGGAATTTATTAAAGGGACAGCACGTACAGAGAGGAGAGCACTCTTTAGAAGGAAGAATCTACTGAGGGGGTCCCACAGGTCCCTTTTATCAGGCCCGGAGTTTGGGTTACCTAGGTGAATCTTCCCAACAGAAACAAAAGGGTTACTATAGAGACAGCACGAAGGCCGAACTGAAACTAACTTTCTAGAAGACCTGATTTATCATCCAGGTACAGCCTGTCAGCTCTGACCACTGAAGCAGAGAGCTCAGAAGCTCTTAAAGTGACACTCTCCAAATTTCCAATGCTTATGGCAAGCATGGCTCCCGACAATGAACTCTCCAATAGCTGCCAGCAAGGGCAGCTGCTAGTCAGGTCTGAGGAAGGGGGCTGGGCCTCCGCAGGTGTCACTCCAGCAGCACTCAGATAATCCCCTTGCTTTCACAAGCTTAGCCACCAGGGTGCTATGATGAATAGCCTTCCCTTTATTTTTCCTGCTGCAGTGGGAATCCTAGGCCTCCTCAAGGAATTAAAAAAAATTTTTTTTTTGCACAAAGGACCAATAGTGGTTGATCCTGTTCCTTAAGCCCCCAATGCTCCGAGAAGCTCCATCTGCAGATAAGTGGGCACAGGGTCAGACTATGGTAACACCACTGCAGATTCTGGTCTCTGCCACTATACTGTCACAGACTTTGAAAGCACCTGCACATTATCCTTTAGAGAGGGGAGTATCATGTCTGTCTGACTGTTTCAGTGTATCGCTGTTCTGAGGAGTTAGGGATGTAGTTCACCATATTAGGGACAGCATGAAGGGTGATTCTTGATCTGGAAAAAAAGTTTCATTAAGTAGATCCTTAGCTCTGCTGGCAGAGAGGATACTAAACAGGGCTGGATTTTTCATTTTCCAGAAATCATCAGCTGTGACTGTAAAATGTGATAATAACAGTAGAAATGGTCGCAGCCAATAACTGGCCACTCCCCATATTAGAGCCTGCTATAGCTCCCTAAATACCCAGCTTCCCTTTCCTCATCGGGTGTCTGGATACCAAGAGGACCAGGCCTTCTTGACTTCACTAGGTAACCCAGTCACTCAATATCACAGACTGCTTCTACCAAATCTGTTCTTTTGGAATCAATAAATTCACCAAATCATCCGGCTCACTGAGCTCCTGCCATGTGCTCAGGCCTGGGCCCAGCCTTTGTCCTCAAGGAATCCATGTGTGGTGGAAGAGACTGGGCTAATAAATATGGAGAAGTCAGTGGGCAGGAAAGAGCTTTACTGTACAGCATGATTTAGATGGCAGCAGAGGTTCAGGAAGAACCTGGAGCAACCAGTGGGATGTTGCAGGAGAGAACGGCTCTGAAGGGTGGCTGTGTGGACACATAAAGAGCATGGGTGGAAGCAGGACACAAAGGCCACAGCATCACCCAGGCAGGCAGGATGGGGTTAGAATGCCCCGTGCCCATCCAGCTACTTTTTGGGTTTATCCCTCTGTGTGGGAGTCTCTAGTAATAGCCAGTGTCTTCTCTAAAACCAGGAAGTTCTTGACAGTGACTCTAACAGTTGGGAAGGGGCCTCTGGAGTCCCTCAGTGTTACAGTGGTGGCACTGTTCTGGGGGGTTGTGGAACTGTTAGGAGGTGGGCTAGCTGGAGAACATGGGATGCTTGGGGGTGGGCTTAGAAGGCTCTATATATCATTGCCTGTCTCTGGTCCCATTTCTTGGTTAGTACCATGTGCCAAATACTGCTGTTGTCAGACTGAGCTCTCTGCCAGACCTTCCCTGCCAGGATGGACTTTTAACCCTTGAACTCTTGAGCCCAAATCAATCCTTCCTCCCTTAAGCTGCTTCTGACAGGTATGTTGTCATAGCAATGAGAAAAGTAACAAATACATTTAATTATATGGACCCTGGAAAGCAGGGCAAAGTCTGAAGGGGTTAAGCACTGTGGAGATTCCATGCTGTAAGGAGTAAGGTGATAGTGCCTTGGTCATGGAGCCCAAAGGAAGGAAAGGACTGAACATAGAGTGCTCTTCTTTTCCCTTCCCTACCTTACCCTGCCTACCCAGAGAACATTTGACTTGTAAACTACAGGAATTCCATTTAGGGTTCATTTGCTTGGTGTAGGAATTTAACCAGTTAGGATAGACTTTGCTAAAGTAGTGGATCCTTACCCATGGGGAACAAAAGCTCTAGGGACGTGTTGGGCTCCTCTGGCCAGGAGGATGGACAGGAGGCAGAAGGAGAACACGCTAGAGCAGCAGCAGGGGGAGAGAAGGATACTGGATAGAAAGGACAGAGAACAGGAACAAGGAGGCCTTCACCGCCCTTCCCACTGCGGCCCCTGGACTCCCGTTCATATTACCCATGACTCAGTACCTGGGTTCCTGGCTTCAGAGATGCCACAAGGTCTTTGACCATTTTGGCTTCGGAGACTGTGATGCCACCTACCACGAAGAGGATCAAGAGAGGATGGTCACTGGGATGGGGCCGGCTCACCTGCAAAACAGAACAATGCCAGGTCAGATAGCCTCCAAAAAGGCTCATGTGGGTGGGATGAAGAAGCTGGAGCAATGATGGTTTAACAACACCCACTGACCAGAGAAATGCACAGCATGGCACCTTAGTCTAGCTCTTACACATGGAAAGGAAATTTAAGAGTACTGGTGCTATTAAGTAAGAGAAGGCAGAGGGAAACTTACTGCTCATCTTTGTTCAGGACACAGCATAAACTTTCTATCACTTTATCCCACAGCTCTGCCACAGCCTGTGGTTGTGGCCTTTGTTTCTTTGTTGCATTCCCACCAGGGCAGGCATGCCTCTGCCTAGCTCCGTGCTGGCCTCTGTGCTTATCTTTTCCAGAACAGACTATATGTTCTATCATTGTCTATAGAGCTAATTCAAGTTGGCTCTGGGCAATGGGGTGGAGTGTAGAGCAGGCAGGGTCACTCTCATGGAAATTACAGTCTGGCATGGATTCAAAGCCTGTTACTTCTTCACATCAGCCTTGGCTGAGGACCTGCGCTGGATTCTGCATTAGTTGCTATAGAGATTCTTCCCAGTTCTTTACAATTTTACCCATGAGACAATGTATTATTATAGAGAATGCCTCTCAGTGACTTCTCAGGAAATGCAAAATGACCCATAAATAGATTCAGGGATGAAGACAAAGAAAGCCAGAGAGGGCTCCTGAAGATAGTATGCTTTGAGCCCTATCAGGAACACAGAGCTGTTTCCCTGAGGAGTGGGTACAGAAATGGTATGGGCCAAGCCTTGTAGATGAGCAATCAGCAGCTAAATGAATAGCCCAAGGTCCACCCTGGACTAAGTGTGGTTAAAATCACCTAGGAAGGTGCTGTCAATTGCCTGCATGGCTACCAAAGCCACAGGTAGGAGAAAGGCTTCACCTCCAGCAAGGAATATGAAGGGGGTGAGTGGGTACATCCACTCATGTTCACTCATGCAGAAGTTATCTGAGGGCTTCAGACTGTCCCAAAGAGTAGCAGGTAGGGCAACAGGTTATGGGGAAAACTATAAGAAAGATGAAGGGAGGGAAGAAGGGAAGGAAAGAGAGAGTGTCTTAGTTTGTCTCTCTATTGCTGTGACAAAACACTCTGACCAATACCAACTTGGGGAGGAAAGGGTTTATTTAGCTTACATATCCTGGGTCACAGTTCATCCAGTAGCCCAAGGTAGGAACTCAGGGCAGAAACCTGGAGGCAGGAGCTGGTGCACAGGCCGTAAGGAATGCCGCTCACTGACTTGCTCCCCTGGCCCCTGCTCAGCTTGCTCTCTTACCCAACACAGGCCCACCTGCCCAGGGGTGGCACTACCCACAGTGGGCTGGGCCCTCCCACATCACTCAACAATCAAGAAGGTGCCCCATGAACATGGCCACAGGCCAGTCTAATGAAGGTAATTCCCCAATTGAGGCTCTCTCGACCCAGGTGTGTCAAGTTGATACTAAAGCTATCCAGCACAGAGAGGACGGAGGAAAATCTAAAGGTCTTCATAAGTAGTGGTGAATACTATGAAAAGTCACAAAACTCGAGGCTCCTCACTCCTCCTCAGCCTCCATCAATATTTCTGGATCTCCCACTCCCCTCTACTGTGCTTAGGGACTGTTTTCGTCTAATCTACATATCACATACCATCTGCAACTTTGATGGTATCCCACTAACTCCTGGAATTGCTGGGGTCACTTGCAGAGGTCACCAATGGCCTTTATGGTGTAAAAGTCAGTGGATATGTTTTGACTTCATCTAGCAGAACATTTCTATGTCACTCTTCACAGTTGAGGACCCCTGCTTGACGACTGTGATGCTGCTGCTGGTTCCTCTTTTACCTTTGCTAGTTTGTTTTCAGAACTCAGCTCCAGTTCTCAGATGCCCCTTTAAATGCGGACACTGCTAAAGATCCATCCTTGACCCCTTACTCTTCTCACTCAATCCATCAGCCCTAAAGGACGTTCTTTTCTTTCCATATATTTCCATATCAAGTTCCCTGGACATCACTACCCAGACACCCCTGAGATTCTCAGACTAGACAGGCTTCAGCTTTGATGCCCCATCTTCCTCAAATTCTGTCCTTCTCTTGTGTTTCATTGCCCGAGGCCCACACACCAGGGCCTCTCAGACTCCACTGTCTCTTTCGTCTCTCAGATCACATTGTACCCATTCTACCCTGGCTGTCATTGATGCCGCCTTGACTTCCACTATTGTCACTGGATCACTACAACAGCTTTCTGTGTTGTCACCTGTTTTCAGTGTGACCATTTCTCTTGATCATATTTTTGCCTTATAAGTTTTCTAAACTATCATTATTTACTATCAACTATAGAAAGTACAGTTATTTATGTGTTTTATCTTTTTTAATTCTCAAAAACCCTTAGAAGACAAACATAGGAGACAGTAGTGGATTTTGTGGATTAAGAGATGAAAGAGCTAAACCATGGTATGAGTGGCCACAGTGCAAACGCCACTCAGCTCTGTCACATGCTCAGTCTCTGCACTATCTCATTGCCTTGAGGACAAAGCCAAACTCCCCACTTTAGCATATCAGGCTGTTTGCTTTGTGTCTCCATTTCATCCTGTGTATGCATACATTATTTACTGGAACCACTGGAGTCATTTATTATGACTTGTTTGGACTTTTTGAGACAGAGTCTCCCTATAGCCCCAGCTGGCCTGGAACTCACTATATAGACCAGGCTGGCCTTGAACTCACAGACATCCACCTGCCTCTGCTTCTGTGCTGGGATTAAAGGCATGCACCACCATGCCTGGCTCATTTACTCCAACTTGTGCCTAAATGTGTGCTTTTTTTTGTGGGTTTTTAAAATTTGTGTATTTTTAAAAATTATTTATTTAATAGCCATATAATTAGAAGAAGCATTTCATTGCAGCATTAAGATATTCAATAACAATTTCCAGAGCAAAGATGTATCTTTTTCAAAATTGGCTGTAAATTTTTAGATTCACAGTTGACTCACTACAGTTATACAATATTGAACTCAATATAAACCCTGTAATACATAAAATTGAATGATGTTTTAACCTTTAAAAGAGATCTCCATTTCATTTTTAAATATACTGTTTCATACAGAAAAACTCATTTTTTGTTTTTAATACAATTGATATTAAGATGTACATGTGTTTCTAATCTCTATATATCTGCTTATTACTAGTCACAGTCAGTTACTTTCTGAGCTCCTTGGCATCTGAGCATGAATATAAAGTCATCAGGTAGATTTCAATGGTAATGGTGGATCTCAGTCGTAATGTTTTTCACATCTACTAATTACTAAGGAGGAAATTTTTATGCTTTGAAGAATTTTCTTTCTTTTTTTATTATTTATTTATAGACCCACTTCCCATGTAGCACCCTCCCATAGCCTTCCTTCCCCCACTAGAGCCCTTATACTCTGATATCCCTCCTACTGTCTGCTGTGTTGTCAGCACCCCCAGCCATTCCCCACTACTTGCCCTTCTGGTGAATGTAGTCAGCCTATCTAGGGGGGTCTTTGTTTTAGGAGGGTCAGCTGTTCTTCATCTAGTGATTATCAGTTGTCTATAGTCCTTTAGATAAGATTGGGGTCTGCTGTTCATTTTCCAAGTTCTATGCTGGGTTACTATCTAGGAATCCCTTGGGCCACCCTGGCCATCAACTCAGAAGAAGGTATCGCTTGTCTGGCATTGTTGCTTGTTATGTAGCCTTTAGCTATACATATGGACTCTTATGAAATTATGTTGGTCCATTTAATTTTTGGTTATACTTTCCTTTTGGAAAATGTTTAAGGCCATACAGTTGGTCCAGATAAAACTGATTCGTTTTTACTCTTAAGGTCGTTTGAGGATCTGTTCCTCAGGGGTCACATGGG